AGACTGGTAGAACTTTCCAAGAAAAAAGCATCCAACCCCATCAGATGAACAGAAACTTGTTCAAAGAAGAAATTCGAATGGCAAAAGGCACATAAAAAATGCTCTGCATCACTAATCATCAGGGAGATGCAAATCAAAACAACAATGAGACTGGCACACATCCAACTGGACAAGAAAAACCAGTGCTTGTGGGGATGCAGGGAGAAAGGGATTCTCATTCATTGCTGGTGGGAATGCCACCTGGTTCAGTCTTTTTGGAAAATAATATGGATATTCCTCAAATTGAGCTCCCTTAATGGCCCAGCAATACCACTTCTGGGAATGTACCCTAGGGGTCCAAAAACACACAGCAGAAACACTATCTGCACTATGGTTTTGCAGCCCTGTTTACAAATAGCCAGAATCTGGAAACAACCTGATTGCCTGAGAACGGATGAGTGGATAAATAAACTATGGTACATCTACAACAATAGAATACTATATAGCTATTAGGAAAAATGAGATCATAAAATTTGCCTATAAATGATCAACTTGGAGAGTATCATGCTGAATGAGATGATTCAGAAGGAGAAGGACAGATATAGAATAACTGCATTTATTTGTGGGATATAAAAAAATGGTATGAGACTAATACTCAAGGTCAGGGAAAATGGGCAAGGAAGACTTGGTCAATGGTTGGAAATTACCACAAGTGTGTGTGGGAGTGGAGGGTAGTTATGATAGAGGAGTGTCCAGTATGACGATAATAGTTGGAAATGATAACTATAGACAAGAACTTAGTGCTGAAAGTAGGTAGTAGGTAAAGTGATATACACGATAATCTTTCAGGATCTGTATGGCAAACCATACTGCCCAAAAGTGGGGGGAGAGAGAAAGAGAAAAAAGAGGTACCTGCCATAGAGACTGGGTAGGGGGGATTCAGGGGTGGGGTGGGAGGAAAACTAGGGACATTGGTACTGGGAAATGCACACTGGTGGAGGGATTGGTGTTGGAATACTCCATGACTGAAACCCAATCATGAATAGCTCTGTAATGCTCTATCTCATGGTGATTCAATTTTTTCACTATCACTATTACTATCACCTCATTGTTCATCAATTTGCTCGAGTGGGCACCAGTAACGTCTCCATTCATCCCTGTCACGTGCTAGTGTAGCCCGATGGCATATTTGGGGCTCTTTCAGGGTCAGGGGAATGAGGACCATCATTGTTACTGTTTCTGGCACATCGAGTATGCCACGGGTAGCTTGCCAGGCTCTGCTGTGCTGTTGGGATACTCGCGGTAGTTTGCCAGGCTCTCCGAAAGGGATAGAGGTTTTTGGAACAACCTCTAATCACCTTTACTGGTGTTCCCAGTCAGTTATGCGGGCAAGATACTCTTGGTAGCCTGCTGGGTTCTCTGAGAGCAAGAACTAGACAATAAGAGGTTTTGTGGCTGCAAATGCGGCCTTCTGCTTCCAGGAGCTTGGTTTTATATTCTCTGGATCTTGGCCGTTGATGGGGTTACACGGCATTTGGTGGGTGTAACTGTCTAGCTACTGAAAGATGGGGAACCTGGGTGGAGGAGGCCTATTCTCTATCTGAGCAGGCTTGGAGATCTCAGCCCCAGGTCCCACACACAGCTGCTGTCTAAAACCAAGCTCCCGGGGGAGAACAGCACAGAGTCTCCTGCACCCATGCCTGGCTGTCCTCACTGTGGCCCCTTGGAGAGGGGCGGGTTGAGTTTCCCTCTCTGCCCTGAGCAAAGCCATGGCAGCTGAAGACTTCCGGGACCCAGCCACAGTCATGCTGAGACCACTCTCCATATGCTAGGACAAGCCTCAGGCATGAAGGGACCAGCAGAGGAACCCAGGTGTGCGGGACCCAGAACTGAGATCTCTAAGCCTGCTCGGATCGGGACTGGACCTCCTACACCCAGATCCCCCATCTTCCAGTAGCTAGACAGTTACACCCACCAACTGCCATGTAACCCCATCAACAGCCAAGATCCAGAGACTATAAACCAATTTTTTTAAAAAAGGAAAAAATATATATATTGCATTCAATTTTATATTTTATTTGGGTTTCATTGTGGTAATAATCATGTTTTCCCTGTCATTACAAAAAAAATATTTTTTTGGTTTTTTTGTTTTGGTCACATCCAGTGGTACTTAAAACTTACTCTTGTTTCTGTGCTCAGGGATCACACCTGGTTCAGCTCTGGGGAACGTATGGGGTGCCTAAAATAGGCACCTGGAGGGCCATTTGCAAGGCCCTCCCCACTGCACTATTGATCTAACTCCAATAAAAAATACTGACTTCAATATTTGTGATCACTGTGCTTTGCTATCAACAGAAAAATTACATTAATAATAGTTATATTATTTCTTTGTAATTATGGAGGATTTATATTTTTTGAGAAGATATGTTGGGGAACAATTTTCCCCAACATGCCCAGACATGTTGTACACTGGGTCTGGGCAGATGTGGGGTCAAAGGATAATGGGAGCGTGGAGAAACCACTCTGGAAGACAGTTGATGGCTGCTCACTTTATTGCCTAATACACACATATTTTATAAAGTGTCTCAGCTTAAGAGAATGGTCTAATCACATAAAGTTTAGTATTACTGACCTATCACCTTTCCAACTCTGCCCTGGCCCAACCCCAGTTAGGGCTAGATGCTGCAGGAATGTCTCTTGGGGTGGAGGTAAGACTCAAGGCCGGTGCTTGTAAAATCACCCAGATAGTCCCTACTGGGTGCTATGCAGGGAGAAATCTTATCTGCTATGCAGGGACAGATCTTACCTGCTCCGGCACCTCTTGCCATGCTCTACACCTCCCCCTTTTGATTTAAATTTGAAGCCAACAGCATTAATAATAGGGAGATCATAAAAGATTAACCCCCAGTTAAAGGTGTATCACCTTCTCATTCCCTTATTTAGTAATCCATTTAAATGATTATATTAAATTGACTAGTAGTTATTTTGTATGAACACAGCAAGGGATATATTGAGCTTAAAGGTGACCCCTCCTGGGGACATCTCATATCAGAATACAGTTCTCAAGTCAGATTAATCCTTCCCAACAACAGCAGGGTTCTTGTTCAGTGACTTCTCTTAGGGTCATGACAGAAATTGTCCATAACCATTCACTTAACTTGCTATTCCCATTTTGATGTCAGGTTAGCTTGAAACTTGCCCTGGGTTCATCCAGTCCCTTTGTCAGGACCTGCCTGGGTGCTCGGAACCAACGGCAACTGAGGGTTAAGTTGAGTAAATGGATGCCCAGGAGTGAATATTATCTGGAGTTAGTTAACGCCCAAGTCAACTGTCTTCCTGTGTCTTTACAAAAAAGGACAGTGCTCCGAAGTAAACTATGCAAAAGGACATAATGGAAAGGGAAAAGCAATGTATGCACACCCATATATTAGAGTTGAGAGTCGCCACATATAGGAAAATTGGTTGTTAGGGGCTCATATTGCTGAACTCTAAACTGATAGATCAGTACTCGAGTCATCTCCTGAAGATGTGTTTGAGCAAATCTAAGTAAGCAAGAGGCAACAGCTAATAAACAGAACCACAGTAAAGGGGTAAGTAAGGTACATATCCATGGCGGTACTGAGGCAATGGACCAGGAGAAGAGAGGGTGGTCATTGAAGCGTTCCCTAAGAGTATCACTAATTTTTACCATATTTTGGATATTATCCTCAACTATTCCAGATGAATAAAATAACTTTGTTCATCAAGAAACATACAGATCCCCCTTTGTCTGCCATTATTAAGTCCAGTGCTCTCTGGTGTTGAAGAACAACTTCAGCCAGGGAATTAATTTGACGTTGCAGTGTTGCCAGGGATGATGTGGAGACAATTACCCCTTGCAGCTAGCTGATTGGCTAATGCTTAGGCTGTCAGGAGCATTTTGGCCAGGGCGCCAGAGGATAGTCCCTCCAAGGCAGCTAGACCAGAGGCAGCCAAGAGGGGCAGGAAAATTGCGCACTTCTGTCAGGTTCTGGGCAGGAGCCAGGTGAGTTCATCTGAACTATAGAGAGTAAACTGGAGGACAATTTCAATTAAAAAGGTTTTTATCAAGAGGGTGGAATAGTGTCATACAGTGATGAGTCACACCTGGGGGGGGGGGGGGGAGTTCACTTGTAAGTGCAGGAATCTAGTCTGTCACATTCCGTCAGAGCCGGCTGCCCTGTACCGAACCATGATTCCTGTTCTGGGATAAGGCTGCACCAGATTTTGTTGGCAGGGTAGCCTTTGATGGATTTAAAGGCAGTGCTGCAAATAGTGGCCAAGAGAGGGAAGCACATCAGAAACAATCTCTGCCATCTGCAGAAGTTAGTCCCTTAGGAGATTAAGTGCATATTGTAGGTACTGGGCCAGGAGGGAGCAAGGTGGTCCCTCTTGATGGCCTCTTTCAGGGAAAACTCAGACTCCTGGATGATCTGCAGCAATAGAGTGATGCCAGGACAGGGACCAGTGTTCTGGAGATCCGCAGCCTACGTGCGGGCTTACTTGCCCGACTGGTGGTATACAGAAACTCGTCAGCTCCCTCCTGCCAGCTCTGGTGCCAGGGGTCCAGTACCTGTAATCATTTTTCTTGTTAGGGTGTTAAGTAGAAACATGTCAATGGTGTACCTGGTCCCATGTTTGAATAGAAAGTATTCCTAGTTGCAGGAGGCATGATAACAACCTCCACAGATGTCCTTCTGCTGGAGGCAGGACATTTTAACTTTCCGATAAGGAAAGCAGATGTGTTAACCCAGGTGTTATCAATGTCATTGATAAGTGGGATCTCGATGTCTGAGGCACACCCGGTCCCTGGGCAGCGGGCATGTCCCACTGTTTGGGCCTCAACAGTGGTGCTCCCTAGGGTAGTCTGAATTACGGAAAATTCCCACTGAACACTGGCCGGGAGGGTGGAACAAGCATGACTGCAGGTCAGCAAAGCTAAGAGAAAAATAGCAGAGGTAAGGCAGCCTTTTGGACATATCTGCTGCACCTTTGCTTCCCAGCATTGGAGGTCACTCCCGATGATGTCATGTCGGTGCGTCTGTTTCTCCTGCAGCAGGTGGTGCTCCTGTAAGTGTGAGTTGCCTCATTCACTTGATTGGAGAAGGGGAACCGTGCATGGTGAGCTGGAACCCAGACTGGTTTTTCTCCTTCAGAGGTTAGAGGAGAAATAAATCCCCTCCCTGAAAGTAAAAGTGGGCTGGGGCCTTTCCCAGTCCCATACAACGGGTCCTTCCAGTGAAATTAAAGTCAGTCTTATAGTCAGTCTTACAGGTTTTAATCTCCTTAATTTTAATATAGGTGATCCCCCAAGAAATTTGGAAACAAGTTCCTAATCATTATCTAATATCTTAAAACATATATTCATTTGGCAAAAGTTCACTTCACGTTAGATGTTAACCAGGAGACATCTTTAGAATTCTGATTTCTAGGAAAACACAGATATTAAAAGATTAAAACACTAATAGATTACCATAAAACAGTAAAGATTTCACACTTGTGTACAAAGTTTCTGAAGGTCAGGGCTAGGTTGATACCTGGTGACAAAGCTTTACATGAAGTTATCATAATAGTAGCATGCATTTTCATTTACTGGACAGACTAACAGTATAGTCAGTAAAAGTTGGCTAGTTATTTTCCCACATTTTCCATGCAATTCTCCATTTTCTGAAACCATTAAAGCCAGAGGGGCTGTTCTTAGTTGCTTGGATTTTAAAGTGACTCACTTTTTTCTTTCTCTTCAGCAAGAAAGCCTGAATGAAGCTGGTCTGAAATTCCAGCAGGAATGCCTGATATTCCTAAAACTTTTACCAAGATTTTTTGAAGCTGGTCTGCAATTCCAGTAGTAAAGCCTGTTATCTTTACATTTACATTGCACAAGGTACATTGTTATGGCTCCAGACTATCAGGCTGACACCTGAGATTAACCATTATAACTTTGCTAAATTGCTGTAGAAATTTTAGTTACCAAAGGTCTCAGAGATCAAATAAAACACGGTAGGATAAGTTTTGCAATCAATATTATAAGTCTAGAAACTCATGTTCTAAACTAAACCATTATTCATTGAACCAGTTTTTATGTACTATAATTATTTCAACTCAGATTCTAACAATCCAATGCAGATACAACCAAACATATATATTGATGTAACAGCATAAGAAGACCTTTGAACCAATTTTTATGAAACATGAGGAAACCTTCTTTTGCTTAATTTCAGTATTTTTTGTACCTTAGTTATTTCAAATCATGAACTTTCTACACCAGATACTTTAACAATTCCACAAGGATACAAACAAGCTTTCAGACCTAGAAAAAGTCCCTTGGTTTTTTCCAAACTTTGATATTAAAGCATAAGAAAACACTTGAACTACGAATGTTTATGAAAACACGAGAAAACTGTTTTTGGTGGCTTCTGTACCTCTGTTGTTTGTAAAAACAGCCTAATTTTTTGTTAAAATTGGCTGGGGCTTGTAATATAAGGCCTTACATACTCTGAACTCTTATTTCACTTTAGTTTCAGGCTCTAGTTCTGCAGCTCTTCCTAGGTAGTACAGATTCTGAAGTTCAAAAGAATTTCAACTATTAATAACCATTAATGTTTTATTTAATTTATTTATTTATTTTGGGTCATGCCTAGCGATGCACAGTGGTTACTCCTGGCTCTGCACTCAGGAATTACTCCTGGCAGTGCTCGGGGAACCAAATGGGGTGCTGAGAATCAAACCCAGGTTGACCGCATGCAGGGTAAATGCCCTACCCGCTCTGCTATCATTCCACCCAATGTTTTTTATAATAAGAAATTTAGATCGAGAATTTAGATTTCTCTGTAGGCTCAACATTCTGATGAGAAAATCTGTTTAAACCTGCTCTGATAAGTACCAAAAATACCTAAACTTTTTACCTAAATTTTTTAAATCGCTGGGTTACACATCACTGACTTCTTTTGATGATGCTGCTTGCCCAAGGACTCCACACAGACAGAAAAACAACAGACTCCAAACACTACATGTACATGTGCACACATATATATTTTATCGATTGAGCTGACCCTTCAAGAATGGAGAAGGCAGGGAGAAAACTAATGGCCAATTGGGAACCTTGCTCTGCATTTCGCAGCCTGACCAGCATGTTTCCTGCTTGTTAAAAATGGGTCAAGAAAGGGCTTTTGATAATATAAAGCCAGCAAAATACACTGACAGTGTTGCTGTCAGCCTCAGATAGTACCTTTTTTTTCTCTCCTTAATTGACTTTCCTATTTCTGAGGCAGAAAATTAGAATTTTCTTATAAGATATGGGGATCAGTGAGAGTTCTGGACTAATGGGATAGCCCAGAAAATTTTTGGTGGGAACGGGAAAGGTGGGGGTGCTAAGGTCTTCAGAGGCGACCCATCCTTGTGGGTTTTGGACTTGCAGTCCTTTTTCCAATGATGTCCCTTCTGACATCGAGGGCAGAAGATATTAGGTTTGGAGGGAATCTCTGGGGGAGGGAGGTCCTTTTTGGGACAGTTTGTTCTCCAGTGACCTAACTCACCGCATATAAAGCAGTGAGGATTGCTCATGTGATTATCCTGCAAGGTGGCAGCAATTGCAGCATGGAAAGAGGATGAGCCTGTATCTTATGTTTTATGATCCAATCCTTATAATGAGCATGCCATATGCCCTTGCAGGCACACTTACATTCAGGAGTCATTCCATCCCAGACCAGTTGCTGCACCATCTCATTCTGTATGATGGGTTCTGAGACTTTGTGCTCGATACTTTCTTTGACTCTCTGAACAAAGTTGGGTAAAACCTCTGTTGCTTTCTGATGCAGGGAAGTCAGAGACGCGCCAGAGGGCCCGTCAGCACCAGGCGTGAGCCTCTCCCAGGACTGATGGGCGCATAAGCGGACTTGGGAAAAGAAGCCTGCTGGCTGTTGCAACAGGGAGTACGGGTCTCTAGCTACTCGCTCCCCCAGCAGGTGATCTAAGGTCCAAGTTGGTGGGGAGCAGGAGCATGTGTTACAGAGGTCAGTCTCCTGGCACTCATGTCTATAAAAACTTTTCCAGTGATGGAAAAGAGAGCCCGGCAAGATGGTCCAAGCAATGTCCCGCCCATCATGGGGAGTGTTAAGCGATAGAGAAATAGTATATAGTATCGACTTGGTGGAAGGCCATCCTCCTTAATGGTGGTGCAGAGATCCTTGAGTTCCTGAGAAAAATAGGGGGTCCGCCTATGGGGCGCCCTGGCACGACACATACTGGAGAAAGGGGGGATACATCCGGCTCAAGAACTGGACACGGTTGAGGGGTGGGGGCGGTGGAAACTGATGACAGGGGCTGCATAGGGCAATTAACAGATTTGGCAGGACAAAGGAAGGGGAGAGAGTGGCTCTCAGTAGTAGCTGACTCCTCCCCACCAAGGGCCAGCCCTGTCTACCTGGGGATGCATCCGAGGCCTCCTGTGGAGTTCCCGTTTCTTCAAAAGACCTAAGGCACTGGCGAAGGGCTGAAAGAATGACAAAAATCTCAGGGGAAATACTTTCTTATTTATCACCTGAGCCTTAGAGGCCAGGGAATGGATTTGGGACCAGGTGGGTTTGGTGAGCCAGGGAGCGAGCTCACACACATGTCCCCCAAAAGCCTCACCCTGAGACCAGCTAAGTGTTATGCCGTGAGAGTGTAAGATTTCCTGCAAATTGTTTAGAATAATAGTCTTTGGAGCTGGTAGCCCCCATGGTTGTGAATAGAGGAAGGAAGAGGGGAATAGGATGGGGAAAGGGGAGGGCAACTCTCTGATGCTTGCCTGGCGGATCCCTTGTGGGATCTTAAGGTTCCCTTGGCATTGGAGTGCAGGTATAAGCCTACTGCCCCTGCCAGGTTGCTCCCTTGCGGGGATAGTCTCCTTCAGCCGTTACGGGATCCACAGAACCGCGGGTTGGAGCCCACTCAGACCCCGTAGCCGAAGCCATGGGGCCTATTCAATCATTAAATCACAGTCACACTTGGCGTGCCTCATTCGCCCATTCAGAATTCAAAGGTGGAAGGAAAAAAAGGCTGCTCCAGAACTTGTGCTGGCACGGGGCGTGAATGAACAAAGAGGTCGCGCAGGATTACACGCAGGTGTGTGGGAAAAGTAGAAAGACAGAACGGGAAGAAAATGAGACAAGGAAAGATGGTTGAGGGGCTGAAGAAGACCGGTATTCCCCCAGATTGGGTCAGGGGAACTCACCCATCTGAAAACCTCACTGATTACCTTTGTAGGTGCCCTGTGTTCGGGCGCCAGATGTCAGGGAACAGTTTTTCCCCAGTGTGCCCGGACATGTTGCATACTGTATCTCAGCAGATGTGGGGTGAAGGATGACGGGCACACGGGAAAAACCACTCTGGGAGACAGTTGATGGGCACTCACTCTATTGCCAAATACACACCTATTTTATAGAGGGTCTCGGCTTAAGAGGATGGTCACCTTTCCAACTCTGCTTTGCCCCGGCCCAATCCCAATTTGGGCTGGTTGGGAATGACTCTTTGTGGGGAGGTGAGACTCAAGGTTGGATGCCTGGTGTTTGTAAAATACTCCCAGATACTCCCTACTGGGTGCTATGCAGGGTCAGGTATTATCTGCTATGCAGGGACAGATCTTATCTGCACTGGCACCTGTTGCCATGCTCCACAGTTTCTTTGTAATTACAGAGGATTTATATTTTTTGAGAAGATGTAGATTTTTTTCCACTTAACATCACTCTGTGGTATAAAAGGTTTTGCAGTTTTTGTTTTTTTTTAACCTGTCTATGATATTAGGACACACTGTAGCCCTACCAGAGTTATAGTCCTATTCTAACCCAGAAGAGCTCCTACACCCCCATTTTCTTGCTACCTCCCTCTTTTTCTCTGTACTGTTTATCATTTCACCAAATCTAAGCTTATCATTTCATCAAATCTTTGGTATTGATATCATTTCACCAAATCTATGAGTTAGTTTTGGTGTTCTTCCTCCTTCTGTCTTCTGTAGTTATTTATTTTCCACATATTGACTCTTATTTTCTTGGGCTCTTCTTTGATTCATGTCATTCAGAAGCATGTTGTTTAATAGCCAGCGATTCCAAGTTCTTCTCAGTTTATTAATTTGTTTTTGAGCCATACTCTTCCATGCTTATATCTTATTTTTGACTCTGCTCATGGTTATTCCTGGAAATGTTGGGGCCCATATAGGGGGCAATCAAAATATTGGTTTCTGTTTTAGGGTTGTTGATTTCTTGTTTCATACTTTCGTGATCAGAAAATATGCTGACATGATTTCTAACTTGAAAGATTTATTAGGGCCTCTCTTACAATCCACAGTATTTTCCACCCTGGAGATTGTTTTCTTTGATATCAGGAATCATTCCTGAGTAAATTCTGAGCCCACCAGGAGTAATTCCTGAGTGCAGAGTTAGTAGTAACCCCTGAGCATTGCCCAGTGTGGCAGCAAAACAAAACAAAACAAAACAAAACAAAAAAACCAGCAAAACAAAGATTGTGTCACCCCAAAACAAAATAAATTTGTTCACATGTAAAGTGTAGGGCAAAGTAGCATTTGTCCTTTTCCAGTCCAGTGAATGATCATGTTTGGAACATAGATCTGAGCAGGTTGTCCATGTCTGTTTATACGATGTTCCTGAACAAGATTAAAGTTCCTTTTTGCAGAAGTATATTTATCCTTTTATTCATAGTATCAAATACAATTTTGATATATAATGGAGACTGTGGTCCTTATTTTATGAATAAGTTAATATAGAGGTTAAAATGATTATACTGTTACCTATACTTGTACTACAATATAGAATACATGTGTAGTGCATGATATATTAGATAAAACAAACTCCAAAAGGAAATACTCAGACTTCTTCCTTTGGTCCAGTCTTGATGCCACTGACTGAGGAGAAATATGCCCTTACAGGGGATGGTGGTGTTTGAGGATGTGGCTGTGGACTTCACCTGGGAAGAGTGGCAGCAGCTGGATGAGGAGCAGAGGACCCTGTACCGGGATGTGATGCTTGAAATCTACAGTCACCTGGTGTCTCTGGGTGAGTGAAGCCTCTTTTTACTACCTTCTGCCGTTTTCTTTATTAATGAATATACAACATTGTTGGAAATTAAACTTTAAGATTTTTGTACAGAAATATTGTGACTATTTACTAAAATCAAATATTTAAGGTTGCCCATTCATTATTTGTTTTCATTCTTAATATCATTTCCTTTGTATTAAAAATAATAAAATTGGGGTTGGAGTGATAGCACAGCGAGTTGGGTGTTTGCCTTGCATATGGCTGACCTGGATTTGATTCCCAGCATCCCATGTCTTTATGTCACCTCTGGTCTGCTCTTTCCTCAGTCATTCCTCCACTGTTTTGTGATAAGTGTGTAACAAATGTTTGTCATTGTTCAGTATTTACTCTTCCCATGCTTGACCTCTGTAATCCACACAGTGAGATCACATGTATTTTGTTCTTCTCCACTAACTTATTTTGCTAAGTAGTTTTATCCACATGTAAATGAATCATGCAACAACTTGCAAAATATTCAGTTCTGGACATGTAGTTCAACTCTTGTTGGGCTTTTGGATTATTTCCACTACTGTACTAAGTGCTACAATGGACAGGGGTATGCGTGTATGTTTTCACATTAATGATTATGTGTTTTGAAAGCAGATACTAATAAGTGGGATCACTTTTGGGGAGGGGGTGTGGATTGGGCCATAAACTTGTCAGTGCTCAGGGCTTATCCTGACTCTGTACTCCAGGCGGAGCTCAGTGCACCATATGGGATATTGGGAACTGGTACCAGATTGGCCGTTTGCAAGGCATGTGCCCTACCAGATGTACACAGCTTACCCTCTCTATTATCTCTCTGGCCTCTTCGTAGTTTTTTTTTTTTTAAAGTAAAGTAAAGGCCCTCCCGTTGATCGTCGATTTGCTCGAGCGGGCCCAGTAACGTCTCCACTGGAGACTTTGTTGTTACTGTGTCTGGCATATCAAATACTCTCGGTAGCTTGCCGGGCTCTCAGAGAGGGGCGGAGGAATCGAACTCGGGTCGGCCATGTTGGCTGCGTGCAAGGCACACACCCTACCCGCTGTGCTATCGCTCCAGCCCTGCTATCGCTCCAGCGATATTTAGGAATTGTTATGCTGTCTTCTATAGACATCAAAGCAGATGATATTCCTACCAATACTGAATGATGGTCCAATATCACTCCATCTCCTCTGACACTGTTTTTCCTGTCTTTTTCATTTATGCCATTCTCACTGGTATTAGTTGATATCACATTGTTGTTTGGATTTGCATTCCCTTGTAATAACTGAGAATGAACACTTTTCCATGTGCCCACATCACTGGACAGCTTTTAAAAATTGTGTTGCTGTCATTCTTCAAATACTGTGACCTTCAGGTAAGTGTAGAATTTTTCCTTCATTGTTTTTTCATCTTTAGGACATTCACTCACCAAACCAGAATTGATCATCAAGTTGGAGCAAAGAGCAGAGCCATGGATGGTGGATCCCCCAAAGCACAGCCTCTCAGGTACACACTGGATAAAGAGACTAGCAATGGGGAAAGCAGCAGAAATTTGTTGTAGTGAAAAATTTGTTGCTGAATTTCCCTCAGCTTTGAGCCTTGTAGCAGTTACTGTGCATGTGTGAGGCTCATGTATTATTCAGTCTCAAAATATGGCTTAGTTATGTCTCACTTTCTTAATGGATATGTGTCTTCAAAATGTAACTACAAGTGTCTTAGAAATTTGTTGTTGGCCTTAGTGTATCTAGATCTCAGTTCTTGTATCTTCCTTCATTCCCATAGGTGTCCTTTGAGGTTTATTTTTGTCTCATTTCAGATTTTTTAAAATTGTTTTTGGGCCACACCCAGCAATTCTCAGGGGTCACTCCTGGCTCTGCATTCAGAAATTGCTCTTGGTAGTGCTAGAGGAACCGTATGGGATACCAGGGATGGAACCTGTGTCAGCCGTGTTCATTTCAGATGTTTTAAGGTGGGAACTGTTGATAATTTGACTTTGGGATTACCAGTGATTTAAAAACATTTTTTAGTATAATTTATTCTCCATGAGAGGGTTATCTTAAATCATTGATGGGTCACAGAGATTATATGAAGGTTAATGCACTTTGCATGCAGTTAACCTGTTTCGATCTCAGGAACTGCATATGGTCCCTAATCATGGCCAGTAGTGATTCCTGAGCATAGAACCTGGAGTAGCTCTGGGTACTGGAGCCTTATACTAATCTCAGGGGAGAGAGCGGGAGAGAAAGCTTTGAAGATGGCCTGTATTGCAAAAATGATATACTTTTTTGTTTTTTTTTAAATCTGTGGAGTATATACCCTGTTGTTCTCAGAACTTACTTCTGGCTCTGTCTGCAGGTATCACTCCAAATGTGCTTTACTTTTGTGTACCAGGAATTTAATTGGGTTGGCAGTGTGCAAGTGAAGTACTTTAACTACTGTATTATATCCCTGCCCCCATCCCAAAGTGAAATAAATACTTTTGACCAAGTAAATATGGCACAAAATGATAAGCAACAAAAAACCTTTCCTCATGAGGCCCCAGCAATAGTATAACAGTTAGGATGTTTGCCATGCCCGTTGCTGACCTAGGTATGATCACTATCATCACGTATTGTCCCCTGAGCCCACATACTGATGCATGAGTTCAGAGACAGGAGTAAGTTCAAAGAACCATAAGGTGTGGCCCAAAAACAAACAAACAAACAAAACCTTATATGCAGTTTTCCCGAGAAAGTAATGGTGTGATACTTAACTAGGAATCAGTAGATATTTGACTTTGTCTAACATGAAACATACTATGCCCTTAAATAAACCAACCACATTCCGCCATATTCTAGGATGAGGTAAAACAAATAAACCCAATGTATATAAACGATCCATGTCTATTTAGTAACTTCTTAGTGACTGTTAGTAGTCTCTTGCATTTATTATATCATAATACATAAAATATTTGCTATTGCTATTTTCAAGCATAAGTTTTCCTGTATAAGAATCAGTACAAAATATACCCTAGTTAGTATAAGATAATGCACAGAAAAATATAGGAAATCAAATGGTAAGTTAAAATCTCTGTAGTTTGCATAATTTTATGAATAATAGATAATAACATATCCAAATTCTTATGGCTGAAATCACTTAATCACTTAATCATGGCTGAAATAGAAAATAAAAATAAGCACAACTTCATATTAGACTCTCAATGCATTTATTATTTAATTCATGTTGTAAAAAATCATGTTTTAAAAGCAAATAACATTTTTTAAAAAGTACCTTTTCCCACTGTGTTTGAAAGAAACTACATTTACAGTATAAATCACAAGAAATGCTTAATTGTTTTCTAATATGAATATATGCATATGTGTATTCTCATTTTAGATATTCAGCTTGAGCAAGACTTGATTGAACATAACCAGAGAAAGCTGTATGGACAGTTTTGGCGAGATGAAACTCCCAAGAGGAATAAAAGAACAAACGAAAGAAATGATCACAAAATTACTTTTAATTGTAGCTCTATCCACATTTCAGAAGTGGCAGTAAATAATGAAACATATCCTATCATGATTCCCAAGAAACTCGATTCATATATGAACAGTTTTCAGACTAATGATCCTCATGAAATCCACCCTATACAGAATCTTGAGACCTACAAAACATTCCGAAATATCACTGATCATCCAGAAATGCATGGTGATATAAAACATCATGAAAATCTGAAAGATGATCAGTGTTCAGTCCTCAATATACATCAGGGAACACAAATTTTAGAGAAAACATATGAACGTAAGGAATGTGAAAAAAGTTTATCTCAATCACGAAGACTCAGTGTACATCAGAGAATGAACGCAGAGGAACAAACATTTGAAAGGAAAGAATGTAGAGAAACTTCATTAGGTACGCCAAATCTCGTTAAATATGTAAAAATATACACCGAAGGGGAATCCTGTGAATATAAAGAATGTAGGAAAACTTTCTCATGGAAGTCACAGCTCATTCACTATGAGAGAATTCACACAGGAGAGAAAACCTATGAATGTAAAGAATGTATGAAAATTTTCTCACGGAAGTCAAATCTCACTATACATATGAGAATTCACACAGGAGAGAAACCCTACGAATGTAAAGAATGTAGGAAAACTTTCTCTTGGAAGTCATCTCTCACACAACATAAGAGAATTCACACAGGAGAGAAACCCTTTGAATGTAAAGAATGTAGGAAATCTTTCACTCAGATGTCAAGCCTCACTCAGCATATGAAAATTCACACAGGAGAGAAATCCTATGAATGTAAAGAATGTAGAAAAACTTTCTCACGGAAGTCGTTCCTCACTCAACATGTAAGAATTCACACAGGGGAGAAACCCTTTGAATGTAAAGAATGTAGAAAATCTTTCTCCTATAAATCATGCCTCACTGACCATGAGAGAACTCACACAGGAGAGAAACCCTATGAATGTAAAGAATGTAGGAAAACTTTCTCCCATAAATCAAGCCTCACGGACCATGAGAGAATTCATACAGGAGAGAAACCCTATGAATGTAAAGAATGTAGGAAAAGTTTCTCCTATAAATCAAGCCTCACTGACCATGAGAGAATTCATACAGGAGAGAAGCCCTATGAATGTAAAGAATGTAGAAAAACTTTCACACAGAAGTCAACCCTCACTCAACATATGAAAATCCACACAGGAGAGAAACCCTATGAATGTAAAGAATTTAGGAAAACTTTCTCCTGTAAACCAAGCCATGAAATATTTCATAAAGAAGAGAAACCCTATGAATGTAATGAATTAGGACAATTTCCTCAAGGAACTCATGCTTTACTCTTCATATGAGAATTCACAGAGGAGAGAAACCCTATGAATGTAAAGAATGTGTAAACTTTCTCATCTAAATCATGGCTCACTGAGCACGAGCAAATTCGGAGGAGAGAAACCCTATGAATGCGAAGAATATAGGAAAACATTCAATAGAACTCTGAGTTCAATCATCAAAAGAATTCCTACAGGACAGAAAATATTTGATGGTAAAGAATTTTAAGAAAACTATCGAAAGTAAAGCCTCAAAATATCAAGCCTGCAAAAACATTATATTCTTACCAGAACAAATTCTTCTCTTGGACAAGAAGCTATTATGCATCTTTTCTCCTGTCTTTCCTATATGCATGATAGCATGGCTTAGCTGTCTGCAGGAAAAAGAGAAATATAAAAATAATTATTACTGGGGCTGGAGCAATAGCACAGTGGTAAGGTGTTTGCCTTTCATGCCTCAGACCCGGGTTCGATTCCCAGCATCCCATATTGTCCCCCGAGCACTACCAGGGGTAGTTTCTGAGTGCAGAGCCAGAAGCAACCCCTGAGCATCGCTGGGTGTGACCCCCAAAAAATTAATTTAAAAAATCATTACTTTCATATGTGCCTGCTAAAAATATGACAAAAACTCCTGGTTTTTAATCCTTTGTGAGCTGGCTTTGTGCAGAACCCCAGATTTATCTTGTAAGCCACAGGATGGAGTCAGCGACATGTGACAAAAGTTTGGGGCTTTTTTTTTGGTAATTGCAATATGCGTTCATTGTTATCAGAGCACTTAAGTTTGGAAAATGCTTTTCAATGCAATTTTTGGGTAAAAAAATCATTCAGGAAAAATGTTAAACATATGTTGGTGAGTAGCTAACTGAAAATAAAGTATAATTTTTATATTGTCTTTAAAAGTTTTTAGCAAAATTTCCTTCCAACATTAGGGCGAGTGGAGGGTGGATTGCTCACAGTGCTTGGGTACATCACCGTTGGCCCAAGATAAAAAGTGCTTTTAACTTGTAAGATATATTTTTATACATGCAAAAGTGTTCAGTATGAAAAATTATAAAAAGAATACATTGAGAATGTATGCCATGGGGCTGGAATAATATGGGTAGAGCGTTTGCCTTGCATGCAGCTGACCCGAGTTTGATCCCCAGCATCCCATATGGTCTCCCGAGTACTGAGTACTCTCAGGAGTTATTCCTGAGTGCAGAGCCAGGAGTAACCCCTGAGCATCGCTGGGTGTGACCCAAAAAGCCAAAATGAATAAATAAATAAAATAAGAAAATGTATGCCTGTAGTTATATATTGTTCATTTTATGTTGGGGGTCGTCTTAATCTCAAAAGGACATGTTGCATCATTATATATACTAGCACACTGTCACCATTTCTTTTCTTCTTCATTTTCTTTTATTTTTAAATGTAGGAGCACTGCTATTTATTCAGCCATTGGTTAAGCTAATTGAATTGGACATGAACTCCACATTATGTTTTTTTTTTAATTTTAAAAATTGGCATATTTGATATGCCAAAAACAGTAACAACAAGTCTCACAATGGAGACATTACTGGTGCCCGCTCGAGCAAATCGATGAACAGTGCTACGGTGATATCCATGAGATAGACCATTACAAAGCTGTTCATAATTGGGTTTCAGTCATGCAATGATCCAGCACCCATCCCTCCACCTCCACATTTCTGACCGCCAATGTCCTCTGTTTCCCTTTCCCCACAACCATCCCCCAACACCCCACCCCCACCCCAGCCTCCATTCCTGGGAGGCACTTTCCTTCTCTCTCCTTTTCCTTTTGTGCATTATTGTTTGCAATACAGGTGCTAAGAGGTCATGGTGTTAAGGGCATTCGATCTTTTTATCAGGCCGATAAGGCTGGAGTAGCTATTTAATTGAGTCACCATTTTAGGGTGGAGATGTGACTGCCAAGGTTTCTGAAAGTACAGGGACGTTGGTGAGGTAGCCCATCCTGACCCCAAGAAAGTCTGGAGATTTCAGTCACAAAACCTGCATACCAGAATTTTCAACGGATTCTATCTTGGTGAGGTCTGTCCTGAGACAGTGAGTTAGGCGATTTTGGGTTGTGGAAGCAAGCGGCTGCCGGGGACTCTGCCTGGGTAGGCACAGGCCAACCTGCCCTCTGATTTACCTAGTCTGTTTAGCCATGCGCTCATCTGAGCTTAACTGTGCCTTTGGATCTCTTGAGATTTATATGGGTCTCTGGAATAAGGTCAGTAAATGAGCTTGTATAGCTGAGCTGGAGGTAGTTTGTGGGCATGGCTCCCACATACCTAACTTTTGGCTATTTAATTTCTTGGTAAACTTGGTCCCAACTTGTCTGGGGCTCAGCCAAAGGCACAACAGCAATTTGGGGGTATTAGGAAACCTGAAGGCACTCAGGCTGCTGATGCATTTGCCCCGCAGGTACAGGTTGACCTGCTGGCAGCACCATACTCTCTGTCGCCATTTCTTGTTTTATAAAATCACAATGATTTAGAGAAGTTGTTGGAACAATGGTATTATTGCTGGGCGATGATATTGAAATCACGGGAATTATTTTCTTCTGGCTATGCCCAGCAGTTTCCACACCTAAACTCGAGCCTCGAAAAGGGCTATTAGGAAGGTACAATATACAATATTTAGCTATCCTCCAAACTGCCTTGGACTTGACTTCTCTGTATATATAAGAGTTGTAAGAATTATCACTCGGGTGTAAGGTCTTGAGCTATTGTACCTCACACCCACGTGATAATTTAGGACAGTGTGTTGGGCATTTGCTTTGCACTTAGTCAACTTAGGTTTGATCCCATATGGTTCCTCAGAGCCCCATCAGGAAGAGTTCCTGAGCACATAGGAATAACCCCTGAGCACATTGGGTGTGGCCTGAAAACTTTTAAAAAGTATTTTGGGCTCCAGAGAGTTAGTCGAACAGTTAAGGCACTTTACTTGTGTCTGGCCTGGGTTCCATCCCCAGCATTCCATAGGGTCTCCTGAACCCAGCCAGAAATAATCCCTGAGTACACAACCAGAAATAAGCCCTGAACACCACTAGCTGTGGCCTGAACCAACCTCTCCCCCCCACCCCCAACACACACATACACACAAATTCTTTTTTTTTTTTTTGTACTGGAGAGAATCTGAGCACATGTGTGTAACCTGTGGCCGGCTTGGGTTCAATCCCTGGCACTGCATGGATTTTTGTACCACTGGTACAAAATCCTAAAAAAAAAAAAAAATGATCCTTGGGGTGAAAATAGGAGACTGGAAAATAATGGTAGAGTACATTTCTAGCATGACACGACCCTGAATTTTTTTTTCTTTATGGGTTGCACCCAGCAATGCTCAAGGGTTTCTCCTGGCTCTACACTCAGGAATTACTCCTGGCGGTGCTCGGGTGACCATATGGGGTGCTGGGAATTGAACCCAGTTTGACCACGTGCAAGGCAAACTGTGCTATTGCTCCAGCAACGAAACAAAATTTTTTTAAGAAAACATTTTATTTTACTCTTTCTCTTTTTGGGCCACATCTGACATTGCTCAGGGCATATCCATTGCTCAGGGCATACCACCGTTACACCTTCCCACCACCATTGTTTCCAATTTTCCCAACCAGCACCCAAATCTGCTCCAATAGCAGGACCTAAATAATTTATTTGTACTACTTGTCAAAAATAATTCACTAAAAATGATCAAAAAAGATTTCTTTAGAAAAAAGTGCATGAAGACTGTTGTCACCCTGGATCCATTAAGCTCTTGTATAAGAGATTGCTAATATGTTGTAACAAGTTAAGCCTTGTGTGTTAATATTTTAATCAAGATTGAAATTCATCATTTTATACAAATATAAATATAATGCACTTAAGCAAATTTAGGAAGAAGATAAGGCCCAGAGCGATAGAATAGCAGGTGGGGCATTTGTCTTGCACAGTCAACCCAGATTAGATCGCTGGCACCCCATATGGTCCCTGAGCACTGCCAGGAGTGATTCCTGAGTGAGCTCAGGAGTAAACCCTAAGCATAGATGGGTGTGGCCAACCTCTCCTCTCCACAAATAAGATAAACACAATTGCTTTCAGCAGACCTACATCCATATCAGAGACACTTGTTCACTCAACCTTCTAGAATGGCTGACATTCCTGGTGCCACTTTGGAACCAGAAACAGATTCTCCTCCCTTTTGGCTAGGTATGGGCAGCCTCTATATCCGGTACAGTAGAATAAATAGAATAAGCATCTACACCTCTACAGTACAATAATACACCCTAGTAAAACACCAGCAAGCTCCAAAATGAGATGTGTGAAACCTCTGAAAAATTAGCAGAAGATGAGAACAGTGACTTAGAAAAAGAGAACAGTACACTAGAGAACTGTGGGATGAGTTCTAGAGAAACAATATAAGAATCATCAGTGTGCTTGTATAACACGGTGAATTGTTAGGGAAATCGTAGATAACAATTTCCCAGTTGAGGAGTGTAGGCACTATATCCAAGCAGCCTGAAATGTCCCAATGAAAATATACACAAATTTAAAAAAAAAGAAACTCCAAGACACATCGTAATCAGAATGACAAAAGCTAAAGAAAAACAGAATTTTGAAAGCAGAAAAATCCAAAAAGAAACTTAAGTACAAAGGAAATCCTGTAAGATTCATAGCAGATTTATCAAATGAGACTATGAACTAGAAATGGTAGAATATAGTAAAAACAAAACAAAAAATCAATGAAATCAACACAAAGAGAATTTTCCAACTAAATTATCATTAAGATTTACAGATTTGAAGGAATGATACAACGGTTCAAGGTCAACAGCTTAAAGAATGTACGACCTTCAAAGCAGTGATGAGGGTGGTATTGACTCCTGGTACTCCCAGTTGCCCTCCGCTAGATTAGGAAAAGCCTGTTTATTCCTAGCTGATGAAGTATTTTGTATTCACTTCTCAATAATTAATCAAAATTTTAACTATCATGAACGGTCTATGTCTACTCAGTAATTTAATTTTAATCTATAGAGATTTTATTATAATATTTTGCGTATTAATGCATATACTTAAGTACTGT